CACTGCCCAAGATCATCAAACCGCAATGAACCAAGCCTCCGCCGGGTTTCGGATACGGATCCAGATGGTCTTGACTACTAGTACCAGTAGTAGTAGTAGTAGTAGTAGTAGTAGTAGTAGTAGTAGTAATTAATAGTAACAGTAGCAGTAGTAGCAGGAGCAGCAGCAGCAGCAGCAGGAGTAGCAGTAGTAGTAGTAGTAGTAGTAGTAGTAGTAGTAATAGTAGTAGTAGTAGTAGTAGTAGTACTAGTAGTAGAGACTGGGCCCACTCGGCGCCCCGACTGGTTCCTGTATTTTACCATCGGATGTTCGATTATGTTTTCATCTTTCTTCCGGAGTGGTGGGGGTTGCTTAATGACGTGCTTGCCCCACCACAACTAACGAAGCTCGAACAAAAAACACAGCTCACACCTTGGGCTTCTGTCGCAGGCCGCGGAGTGCAACAGATTTGTCGTCGGTGTCTGATCCATTGTTACCCGTGTCGTTTGATGTCGTCGCACAAAGATAGGAGAAACTGAGCCACTAACATAATCGGAATGAGAATTGAACCAGTATGGAACGTGCGAGGCTCATCTCCGAATTGTGCTGTTCGCACTTTCGCCAAAGAATGGCCTGTATGACTAGATGTACGTGCACACATGTCACTACAACTCTAGCACGTCACTGGGCAGCCCCGATGCCCTTCTTTCTTTTGGCTTTCTTGTTTCGAGGTCTTAGCTTTTTCTGTCCAATGGCGCTTCCTAGTCGTCCGCGTGCACAGCACTCACATCATATTGCATGTTACACGTGTGGGCGCGTGTGCGTGTATACATGTCAAATGAAGCTACAAGCAGTTCTTTTAAAGGAGTTGGGCCTGGGATTCTGAACTACATACAATGCATACAAAGGTCTTCTGAGAACGACCATGTGCAACATGAGCACGTTGATGTCACGGGCATGCCGGGTTCCTACCAATAAATCCCACAGAAATATCTGCGCCATGTACCCAAAAACTGTTCATGCCAAAACTTGCCATGACTGCACACAACTCACTGGCATTTACACTACGTTCGGCTCGATGGCTCAACTCCGACGTCTTTGATTTGCATTGAAACTACATAGATTGTTCCCCAACAGCTTGTGGCCCTGAATGATACATGTTTCTGAAGTACTACAAAACTCCTGTAACTTACACTACTTCACGCACTACCACGTTACCGCGACTTTGCTCTTGGCACCGGGCGCCCAGTAAGCCCGGTGCGTCGTCGTCGTCGTAGTAGCAGTAGCAGTAGCAGTAGCAGTAGTAGTAGTAGTAGTAGTAGTAGTAGTAGTGGTAGTAGTTGTTGTTGTAGTTGTAGTTGTAGTTGTAGTTGTTGTTGTTGTTGTTGTTGTTGTTGTTGTAGTTCTTGTTGTTTCAAACAAGAAGAAGAGCATCTCATCAGCAACAGGAACAGCATTGGCTGCAGCAACTTCACAATGCAGATGATGTCACAAGGCATTGAACATAGTCTCATCTTCTTTACGTGGAGCACTCGGGTCCTGTTCACCTCCAGCATGTGGTTGCCAAGTGGCTCCACCAAGTGGAACCAAGGCCACAACATCAGCCCGCACCTTAGAAGACCAGTGCCGGGATCACGCCTTGGGGGCGGGGCCTTCGTGGTGAATGGAACTCGGGTTTCCCAGACCGGACCGCGGCCGTGTCTCAGCTCCGGGCTCTCATGTACGGTTTAGGGTTTAGGGTTTACCCCCAAATGAAGCTCTTGCGCTTCAAATCTCGAAGCCTCCTCTCTCCACGATAGCTGGACTATAAGGTCTCTGGCTTGACGCTAGATCCAACACCAGCGGCCGCTTTATCCGATAACGAGGTGCATGATAAGAAGCAGCAACACTGACTCGATTTGGCTCCTCGCGCGGGTATAGTTGATCTTGATGGCCTCCAGCAAAATCCCCCAAGCCCTCCGCCCGAAGTACAAGTTCGACTCTTACGTGCCTTGGGTTCAAGGCTGGGGCCTTTCACAAAAGGTATCCTGGTCGTCATGTTTTGACTAATACGACTACGGCTCTTGTTTGTGATTCCTCTGTGTAGCCTCCAAGTCTTGGATCTTGATCTGAATCTTCTTCGGCATCAGGGCTGCAAAAAACATCTCGTCGACGTCCAAGACAGCCCCCAGGGCCACCGCGTTCAGCATCAGATCGGTGATCGACGTGGTATTCCCCAGCCAAAGAATTCCAGCATAAAGCAGCAAACCGGCGATCACGCCACGAGTGAGTCGGGCCAGGACATACCCCGCGAAGCGCCAGTAGGACATTGTCGTAAAGCGGCCGTGATCGAAGGTCGTGTAGGCACGACGTGGAACCTGCAGTATCGCCTCCAATGACAGGCCAATGGCCCGAAACTCGTTGCACAGATAGAGGCACCATAGGAGGATGCAGAGCATGCAGAGCAGGATTCCCAAACTCACGTTTAAGGGTTGTAAGAGGCCGAGGAAAGCATCAATCTGATCAAGGAGAGTCGCTTGACCTGCGATTCGAGCGTGGCTCTATGTACTGGAATTGTCCTATAGACTGTTATGTCCTTCTGCTATTAGTTGACTATAATACACCATAACATATCATAATGAAATTGTACAATTATACTGTACTATACCATAACAAAATATACTGTAGACTACCATCTCATATTTCAGGGACCTTCCGGAAACCAGTGCTGCATCGGTTGGTACCAGGTGTTGTTGACTGTGGGGTTTTAGTGTGTCTGTCCCGATAGTCCTTCTTGGATCCTACGGTGACCCTAATCCGAAGATATGGGCAACAGAAACATGCCACTAAAAGCCCTGACTTTGCTAGCTGCTAGAGGTTTGCGCTTGACCCCCCCCCCCCGAAGACCTTTTTATTACACGCCCCAATCCAAAACCACAAACCCAAAGCCCTGAACCCCAAAATCCTAAACCGGCCCCTTCTAGGGCCCGGGCTTGCCGACACGATGAGGGAAGGGTCCTTGTTGCACACGCGTGAGACGAGGCTGGTCTGTGCCAGATCCATGTGCCTGTGTTTAGGGGTTAGGGCTTAGGGTTTAGGGTTTAGGGGATCATGCGTCATAGGCCTAGGGCCCTAAGGCTCAAGAGATCTTTCGGAGGTAGGGTACAGGGCCTCTACCTACGGTTGAGGGCTCGGGGTCTATCAAGGGTTTGGGGTTTTTTGGGGGTCGGGTCTGAACTGCTTGGGGTGACAAGTGCGTGCCTGTAATCATGGGCAACACCAACCCTCCAAGACTCTGCGCTCTGGATGTGGCTTTCAAAGGGCTCTCCAAGGAAATCTGGCGACAGCAGAATTATACTGAAGGCGATCTGCAGACCAGCGCTGGCAATCAAAAGCAGGCAGGCAATAATGATATCCAGCCAACCAGCATCGGTGAAGCCCATGACTAATACAAGGTTCCAAGTAGACTCTAAGAAAGCCACGGGCTCTAATGGGACCCAGTCGACACACTCATCTTTCGCTACTGCCTCGTTAGGCTCCCATTCCGGCCATTCAGGCCAAGACGGCCGGGCGACGGGCAACACGTCCGCTTCCTGTGTCTTTTCAGCAACAGTTCCTGGGAGGGGGGCATCTCCGGAGGAGACGTCAACGGAAACCTGATCTTGCGCCGCAAGTTGTGCTCCTGTTCTCGAAGGTCTCTCAGGCTTCTCTCCTCTGAGTAGAAGCATCTCGGCCTCCAGATGCTGCACTCTCGCGACACAGTGCCCGACTGCCCTCCGCAACTCGACGCGGAACTCCTCGCGCAGTCTCTGCTCCAAGGTCCATATCTTCTTTTCCAGCTTGGCTGCCGACATAGCTCGCTCTTCCACGGTAATCAGTAACAGCACTACGACCATGAAGATGTGATGACAGTGCACTATTGCTACCATTGCTGCGGTTGTTGCTTCCATAACGTCCATGCTATCACAAATGCGCTAAGATGCGTTCCATGTCGGCAGTTCATAGTTACCTTCATGGCCTCAGGCACGTACTGGTGATAGTGATGGTAAAAGTCGGAGTAGTAGTAGTAGTAGTAGTAGTAGTAGTAGTAGGAGTAGGAGTAGGAGTAGGAGTAGGAGTAGGAGTAGTAGTAGTAGCAGTAGCAGTAGTAGTAGAAGTAGTAGTAGTCGTCGTCATAGTAGTAG